GCTTATAATCAGCACTGAGGTCAACACTTACGCTGCCACAGCTTATTAATACTTAGCGTTATTGCGGGGCTCCAAGATGCCACTTATCTCAACTACGTATCAGGAAATATTACATTTAGAATGAAGATTGTCATCTGCTGTTTGACGTCACTGGATGATATCACGTGTCACTCTTCTCAGACGTCAGACAACCATCTTATAGACGTCACTGATGTAAGACGTAAGAAAGTCACATCAACTTTCAATTATCGTAATTAAAATAATCTCGATTTGCTGTAGTTGAGATTAATCTTTGTAATTTAGATTCAGCTGTCAAATCCACCGGGGAAGCCTAAGTATGCTGGCTGGTTATATAATTATGATTAAAATGAATAAATATGAGAAAATTGCCGTGTGCCACGTAACTAAGTTATCACGCAGGCAGGACTGTAATGACACAAGCATAATAATGTGCATAAATATACCTGTAGGTGGTTTCGAGAGTTCTTCTCCCGCAGCCTAGCCTGGAGCCAGCCTTCTCTGTTGACTATAATCTCTTATTTTATTAGTATTTTTTCTTTTATTAAACTATTTTGTTCATACTGTAAACACAATTGTCTCACGTCGATATGTAAACAATTTAATCAGTACTCTGAAACTAATGAGATGGCAAATATTTGAGGCATAGAAATAGATTTAGAATGTCGCTCAAAACCCAGGGCCAGATTCCCGAAGCAGTTACGCAAGTACTTACGAACGTGTACATATTTCCTCAATCTTTGACGGCTTTGGTTACATTTATTAAACAGTTTACAAGCGTGAAAACTTCCCAATCAACTGTTGTTATTGTTATAAACAGCCTCCTGGTGCTTCGGAGCTCATTAACTGTTTAATAATTGGAAACAAAGTCGCCAAAGATTGAGAAAAGATGTACAGGTTCGTAAGTGCTTGCGTAACTGCTTCGTGAATCTAGCCCCTAGTGCGCTCTGATATAACCCAACATCATTACTGTTTCAACCTGTCCTCATGCTAGGATCGTCCAACCGGAGGCCGACCCCAAAGTCATGTTCGTCACTTTTCAACGTACTGCTCATTAAATTGTTGTGTTTTCTCATATTTAAGTAAAATATAACATACTAGAATGTATTAAATAGGTCTAACTTAGGTTAGACCTAACTGGTCTAACTTAAAGTGGTTTAAGTTCAAGTACGTTCATTGAGACAATAATTACATCTCATAGGAATAGAGTAACTTAGGCAAGTTCTACCCTCCCAGGTTAGGTAGTTAGGTTCTGTTGGCAACTACTGGTATTTGCAGTAGGTGGATGATGATGTTAGAGAGGTGGGATTCGAACGGCGGGCGTCAGAGGAGCACTGCGTGAGTACAGTACTTGCGTCATTAGTTGTGAGTCAAGTGTCCACTTTGCGTCATTGGTTGTGAGTCAAGTGTCCACTTTGCGTCATTAGTTGTGAGTCAAGTGTCCACTTTGCGTCATTAGTTGTGAGTCAAGTGTCAACTTTGCGTCATTAGTTGAGTAAAGTGTTCACTTGCGTCATTAGTTGTGAGTAAAGTGTCCACTTGCGTCATTAGTTGAGTAAAGTGTTCACTTGCGTCATTAGTTGTGAGTAAAGTGTCCACTTGCGTCATCAGTTGAGTAAAGTGTTCACTTGCGTCATTAGTTGCGATTAAAGTGTTTCTCATTTATAGACTGGTTTGGTGGGTGGATTAATGAGCAATTGGCCTTTGTTGATGAGGACGGCTGTCTCCAGGGTGTGGCGCTGATGACGTCAGGTTTATGGGTCCACACCCGTCGAGGTCCCCCAATGGCTGTTGTCCTTACTGATGTACTCACCTAGATGAGTACTCACCTAGATGATGTGTGTTCACGTCACTGATATGAGTGACTTGCGTTACTGTAGACGTGTAGCGATGATTCGACTACAGTAACTAACAGAAATTTATACAATATATTTAAGCAAAAATCACAGACATGGCCTAGCTTAAATTTAATTATCTCAACTTACGAGAAAATATTTAGGGGTTATCTATTTTGTGGTCTAGGTGAGCTGAAGAGCTTTCGTAGAGAGAGATCAGTCGCCAGGAATGCAAATGAGAATGCAACGTTTGTGGATGGAAGTTGAGCTTTAGCTCTTTGACTCCGCATCTCAACTTACAATTATCGGGTTCTCGAACCTTCTTAGCTCTTCTATCTACAGTTGAGGCTGGCTATGGCCTGCCTCCACTACTTCACTTCGTAGCGGATTTAATTTGTTCTCAGTTCTGAAGACATTTATTCTAATATCTGTGGGTTCTTTTGGTAGCTTATACTTTTGGGGAGACATGATCACCACATTCATAATACTGACCCCCCTGACTCTTCTGTCTGCAACTGACTTGAGTTTGACTTGTGTATGAATGTATGTTTTTCATTCTGCCCTCCTACTCTTTCTCTCTCTCTCGCTCTCTCATACAAACACAAATACTTTAACATTTTTCCCTACAAGTTCCTCCCACGAGCACAAACATTTATGACATTTTCAACTTGATACCAAATTTCGGCCCCGGGCCCAAAACTGCCTCCGGCGTCTCGTGGTACACTATATTCTTTTTAACCTCAAGCAGAATAAGTTTATGCAAATATCCCAGGAGCAGTAAGTTAACTCAGCCATAACACGGAGCTTAAAACAGGCACAGCTGATGGTGTTTTCCCCTCCCTGGGTCATATTGCTCCTAATATTTCTCTACGGGCTCACCATAGCCCGTGCTACTTGCAACTTTTTGTCCCAAGTACTTTTGTTCGCTACTTGGAACTTTTTGTTCCAAGTAGCGAATCTTAATTAAACAACAACATAATATTTCTCCCCACATGTGAACATTATCCAGTGTTAGGCTTCCCTTACCTCCCCCACCCCCTTAGCCATGTAACCGTACACGTCAAGCTTCTCCCATTAGACCTGTTTGTTAGAATGGCTGTTAGATTGTTAGTATGCCTGTTACATTGTTAGAATGTCCATTAGAGTGTTAGAATGCCGATTAGATTGTTAGAATGCCGATTAGATTGTTAGAATGCCCATTAGATTGTTAGAATGCCCATTAGATTGTTAGAATGTCCACTAGATTGTTAGTATGCCTGTTAGATTGTTAGAATCCCCATTAGACTGTTAGTATGCCTGTTAGATTGTTAGTATGCCTGTTAGATTGTTAGAATGTCCATTAGATTGTTAGTATGCCTGTTAGATTGTATGCCTGTTAGATTGTTAGTATGCCTGTTAGATTGTTAGTATGCCTGTTAGATTGTTAGAATGTCCATTAGATTGTTAGTATGCCTGTTAGATTGTATGCCTGTTAGATTGTTAGAATGCCCTTTCAGCTTCAGGTAATCTGAATGATCCGCTTCTTACAATGTGAGGTAATCTACTCATTTAATTATCCTCATTTTATGAGTATTGCTCGACTTTCTTCACCTCATATGAATATTCAAGGGAAGAATTAATTTGGTTAACTGATGACAGGTTCAACGAGGCATGCTCGTTGGAGGCGAGGTCCTTACCTCTCACTGTCTAAAGGTCCTTACCTCTCACTGTCTAAAGGTCCTTACCTCTCACTGTCTAAAGGTCCTTACCTCTCACTGTCTAAAGGTCCTTACCTCTTACTGTCTAAAGGTCCTTACCTCTTACTGTCTAAAGGTCCATACCTCTTACTGTCTAAAGGTCCTTACCTCTCACTGTCTAAAGGTCCTTACCTCTTACTGTCTAAAGGTCCTTACCTCTCACTGTCTAAAGGTCCTTATCTCTCATTGTCTAAAGGTCCTTACCTCTCACTGTCTAAAGGTCCTTACCTCTCACTGTCTAAAGGTCCTTACCTCTCACTGTCTAAAGGTCCTTATCTCTCACTGTCTAAAGGTCCTTACCTCTCACTGTCTAAAGGTCCTTACCTCTCACTGTCTAAAGGTCCTTACCTCTCACTGTCTAAAGGTCCTTACCTCTCACTGTCTAAAGGTCCTTACCTCTCACTGTCTAAAGGTCCTTACCTCTCACTGTCAAAAGGTCCTTACCTCTCACTGTCTAAAGGTCCTTACCTCTTACTGTCTAAAGGTCCTTACCTCTCACTGTCTAAAGGTCCTTACCTCTCACTGTCTAAAGGTCCTTACCTATCAGTGTCAATGGGGGAAGTGAAGTGTAGCACTTTATGCCCCCCATATACCAGCCTTGCTATACGATTTGCATTTTAATTTAACTATTCTGACGTAGAAATCTATGACTCTCTCTCTAACTAAACCTGACCTAACCTAACCTTCTGTACGTTTGTAGATTTAGGTAGGTTGTACCTCTGACACGGTGTTCTTAATTACCTGTTTTCTCTTTATATCTTTTGCTGCTTTAGCAAAAGTTTTGTCTGGTTTTAGTCCCCTAAATCTGTTATATTCTCTGTTTGTTTAATTCTCTCTTCTGTTATCCTGTTCACTCCCTTTGTTGCCTTCCCTCCCTCTTCCTGTGTTTCTATTCTGTCCTGTAACCTATTCACACTGGACTCTCTTTTGAGATTTATTAGTTCTTCAGTTCTGTTTTTTATCAAGTCGTTGTGGTGTTAGAGGTGGCTGGGGTGGTGGTGGTGGTGGTGGTGGTGGTGGTGGTGGTGGTTGTGGTGGGGGTGGTGGTAGTGGCGGTGGTAGTGGTGGTTGTGGTGGTAGTGGTGGTTGTGGTGGTGGTAGTGGTGTTAGTGGTGGTGGTGGTGGTGGTGATGGTGGTTGTGGTGGGGGTGGTGGTGTTAGTGGTGGTGGTGGTGGTGGTGGTGGTAGGGGTAGTGGTGGCATTGGTGATGGTGGTGGTGGTGGTGGTAGTGGTGGTTGTGGTGGTGGTGAGGGTGGTGGTGGTGGGGGTGGTGGTGGTAGTGGTGGTGGTAGTAGTTGTGGTGGTGGTGGTGGTAGTGGTAGGGTAGGGGTGGTGGTAGGGGTGGTGGTGGTGGTGATGGTAGTGGCACTGGTGGTGGTGGAGTTGACAGTAGGTGAGGAGGGAGCGCCTGGTCGAGGACGCAGCAGTTGCAGTTCAGCAGTGGGCGGGGAAAGACGTCGGTGCTCCCGCAGCACGACACAGTCTACCTGTGTCAACACATCACCCACACCGCCCTCACCCACCACCGCCCTCACCCACCACCCACACCACCCACCACCCACCACCCAAACACTCCACTAGCACTAAGTACATCCCAACCCATAACATGTCAACGGATATGATCTTACCAGCAGACTCAGTCAATCACTCCCAATGACGACCTCTGAACACACTTAGAACATTAAGTGCATCAGGAGCAGCAGTCTCCTATCAACTAGACGCACTTGTAACCGCGGTAAGTGCATCACGAGCACTAGCTAGTTGAGAGAAATAAATGATTTAGCGTACGAAGTACTTAGACCATTAATGAGTACGGTAATTAGTTGGGCATTTAGTAAACAATTTTGATGTAATTGGTTAGTTTAGCGTGGCGCTGCTCGGAGCGATATTGTAGGGCGGGGCGTGAGGCTAATGACTGACACTTGTTGAACTAGCGCCTTGTTAGGCTGTCTAATTTACTGCAATTGTTTATATTGGCACCTGGTGTGGTGGTTGTTGTATTGTGTGGCACCTGGTGTTGTGGTGGTTGTATTGTGTGGCACCTGGAGTGGTGGTTGTATTGTGTGGCACCTGGAGTGGTGGTTGTTGTATTGTGTGGCACCTGGTGTGGTGGTTGTTGTATTGTGTGGCACCTGGTGTGGTGGTTGTTGTATTGTGTGGCACCTGGTGTTGTGGTGGTTGTATTGTGTGGCACCTGGAGTGGTGGTTGTATTGTGTGGCACCTGGTGTGGTGGTTGTATTGTGTGGCACCTGGAGTGGTGGTTGTATTGTGTGGCACCTGGTGTGGTGGTTGTTGTATTGTGTGGCACCTGGAGTGGTGGTTGTTGTATTGTGTGGCACCTGGTGTTGTGGTGGTTGTATTGTGTGGCACCTGGTGTGGTGGTTGTTGTATTGTGTGTGGCACCTGGAGTGGTGGTTGTTGTATTGTGTGGCACCTGGTGTTGTGGTGGTTGTATTGTGTGGCACCTGGTGTGGTGGTTGTTGTATTGTGTGTGGCACCTGGTGTGATGGTTGTTGTATTGTGTGGCACCTGGAGTGGTGTTTGTTGTTTTGTGTGGCACCTGGTGTGGTGGTTGTTGTATTGTGTGGCACCTGGTGTGGTGGTTGTTGTGTTGTGTGTGGCACCTGGTGTGGTGGTTGTTGTATTGTGTGGCACCTGGTGTGGTGGTTGTTGTATTGTGTGGCACCTGGTGTGGTGGTTGTTGTATTGTGTGGCACCTGGAGTGGTGGTTGTTGTATTGTGTGGCACCTGGAGTGGTGGTTGTTGTATTGTGTGGCACCTGGTGTGGTGGTTGTTGTGTTGTGTGTGGCACCTGGTGTGGTGGTTGTTGTATTGTGTGGCACCTGGAGTGGTGGTTGTTGTATTGTGTGGCACCTGGTGTGGTGGTTGTTGTATTGTGTGGCACCTGGAGTGGTGGTTGTATTGTGTGGCACCTGGTGTGGTGGTTGTTGTATTGTGTGTGGCACCTGGTGTGGTGGTTGTATTGTGTGGCACCTGGAGTGGTGGTTGTATTGTGTGGCACCTGGAGTGGTGGTTGTTGTAATGTGTGGCACCTGGAGTGGTGGTTGTTGTATTGTGTGTGGCACCTGGTGTGGTGGTTGTATTGTGTGGCACCTGGAGTGGTGGTTGTATTGTGTGGCACCTGGTGTGGTGGTTGTTGTATTGTGTGGCACCTGGAGTGGTGGTTGTTGTATTGTGTGTGGCACCTGGTGTGGTGGTTGTATTGTGTGGCACCTGGAGTGGTGGTTGTATTGTGTGGCACCTGGTGTGGTGGTTGTTGTATTGTGTGGCACCTGGAGTGGTGGTTGTATTGTGTGGCACCTGGAGTGGTGGTTGTATTGTGTGGCACCTGGTGTGGTGGTTGTTGTATTGTGTGGCACCTGGAGTGGGGTTGTATTGTGTGGCACCTGGAGTGGTGGTTGTATTGTGTGGCACCTGGTGTGGTGGTTGTTGTATTGTGTGGCACCTGGAGTGGTGGTTGTATTGTGTGGCACCTGGAGTGGTGGTTGTTGTATTGTGTGGCACCTGGAGTGGTGGTTGTATTGTGTGGCACCTGGTGTGGTGGTTGTTGTATTGTGTGGCACCTGGAGTGGTGGTTGTATTGTGTGGCACCTGGAGTGGTGGTTGTATTGTGTGGCACCTGGTGTGGTGGTTGTTGTATTGTGTGGCACCTGGAGTGGTGGTTGTATTGTGTGGCACCTGATGTGGTGGTTGTTGTATTGTGTGGCACCTGGTGTGGTGGTTGTTGTATTGTGTGGCACCTGGTGTGGTGGTTGTTGTATTGTGTGGCACCTGGAGTGGTGGTTGTATTGTGTGGCACCTGGTGTGGTGGTTGTTGTTGTATGTGGCACCTAGTGTTGTGGTTGTTGTATTGTGTGTGGCACTTGATGTGGTGGTTGTTGTATTGTGTGGCACCTGGAATGGTGGTTGTATTGTGTGGCACCTGATGTGGTGGTTGTTGTATTGTGTGAGGCACTTGATGTGGTTGTTGTTGTATTGTGTGTGGCACCTGGTGTGGTGGTTGTTGTATTGTGTGTGGCACCTGGTTTGGTGGTTGTTGTATTGTGTGGCACCTAGAGTGGTGGTTGTATTGTGTGGCACCTAGTGTGGTGGTTGTTGTATTGTGTGGCACCTAGTGTGGTGGTTGTTGTATTGTGTGGCACCTGGTGTGGTGGTTGTTGTATTGTGTGGCACCTGGTGTGGTGGTTGTTGTATTGTGTGGCACCTGGTGTGGTGGTTGTTGTCTTGTGTGGCACCTGGTGTGGTGGTTGTTGTATTGTGTGGCACCTGGTGTGGTGGTTGTTGTATTGTGTGGCACCTGGTGTGGTGGTTGTTGTGTTGTATGGCACCTGGTGTGGTGGTTGTTGTATTGTGTGTGTGTGGCTCCTGGTGTGGTGGTTGTTGTATTGTGTGGCACCTGGTGTGGTGGTTGTTGTGTTGTATGGCACCTGGTGTGGTGGTTGTTGTATTGTGTGGCACCTGGTGTGGTGGTTGTTGTGTTGTATGGCACCTGGTGTGGTGGTTGTTGTGTTGTGTGGCACCTGGTGGGGTGGTTGTTGTGTTGTGTGGCACCTGGTGTTGTGGTTGTATTGTGTGTGGCACCTGGTGTGGTGGATGTATTGTGTGTGGCACCTAGTGTGGTGGTTGTTGTATTGTGTGTGGCACCTAGTGTAGTGGTTGTTGTATTGTGTGTGGCACTTGATGTGGTGGTTGTTGTATTGTGTGGCACCTGGTGTGGTGGTTGTTGTATTGTGTGGCACCTGGTGTGGTGGTTGTTGTTGTATGTGGCACCTGGTGTGGTGGTTGTATTGTGTGGCACCTGGTGTGGTGGTTGTTGTTGTATGTGGCACCTGGAGTGGTGGTTGTATTGTGTGGCACCTGGTGTGGTGGTTGTTGTTGTATGTGGCACCTGGTGTGGTGGTTGTTGTATTGTGTGGCACTTGATGTGGTGGTTGTTGTATTGTGTGGCACCTAGAGTGGTGGTTGTATTGTGTGGCACCTGGTGTGGTGGTTGTTGTATTGTGTGGCACCTGGTGTGGTGGTTGTTGTATTGTGTGGCACCTGGTGTGGTGGTTGTTGTATTGTGTGGCACCTAGAGTGGTGGTTGTATTGTGTGGCACCTGGTGTGGTGGTTGTTGTATTGTGTGGCACCTGGTGTAGTGGTTGTATTGTGTGGCACCTGGTGTGGTGGTTGTTGTATTGTGTGGCACCTGGTGTGGTGGTTGTATTGTGTGGCACCTGGTGTGGTGGTTGTTGTATTGTGTGGCACCTGGTGTGGTGGTTGTTGTATTGTGTGGCACCTAGAGTGGTGGTTGTATTGTGTGGCACCTGGTGTGGTGGTTGTATTGTGTGGCACCTGGTGTGGTGGTTGTATTGTGTGGCACCTGGTGTGGTGGTTGTTGTATTGTGTGGCACCTGGTGTGGTGGTTGTATTGTGTGGCACCTGGTGTGGTGGTTGTATTGTGTGGCACCTGGTGTGGTGGTTGTTGTATTGTGTGGCACCTGGAGTGGTGGTTGTTGTATTGTGTGTGGCACCTGGTGTGGTGGTTGTTGTATTGTGTGGCACCTGGTTTGGTTGTTGTTGTATTGTGTCTGGCACCTGGTGTGGTGGTTGTTGTATTGTGTGGCACCTGGTGTAGTGGTTGTTGCATTGTGTGGCACCTGCTGTAGTGGTTGTTGTATTGTATGGCACCTGATGTAGTGGTTGTTGTGTTGTGTGTGTGGCACCTGGAGTGGTGGTTGTTGTATGGTGTGGCACCTGGTGTAGTGGTTGTTGTATTGTGTGACACCTGATGTGGTGGTTGTTGTATTGTGTGTGGCACCTGGTGTTGTTGTGTTTGTATTTTGTGTTGCACCTGGAGTGGTGGTTGTTGTATGGTGTGGCACCTGGAGTGGTGGTTGTTGTATGGTGTGGCACCTGGAGTGGTGGTTGTTGTATGGTGTGGCACCTGGAGTGGTGGTTGTTGTATGGTGTGGCACCTGGTGTAGTGGTTGTTGTATTGTGTGTCACCTGGTGTGGTGGTGGTTGTATTGTGTGTGGCACCTGGTGTGGTGGTTGTTGTATTGTGTGTGGCACCTGGTGTGGTGGTTGTTGTATTGTGTGGCACCTGGTGTGGTGGTGGTTGTATTGTGTGTGGCACCTGGTGTGGTTGTTGTATTGTGTGTGGCACCTGGTGTGGTTGTTGTATTGTGTGTGGCACCTGGTGTGGTTGTTGTATTGTGTGTGGCACCTGGTGTGGTGTGTGGGAAAAACCTGCTGGGATTGATATAAGAGGAGACTACCAGGGACTTGTACTGAACTAAATTAAAAAATTACTGTCTGCAAATTAATTCAATTAAAATCTCTAGCTAGGGTTGTAAATCCTAGATCCTCTTTTCCTAATGACAGATTGTGGGCTGTAAGGGACAGGTGGGGTGAATGACTTAGTTGATAGAAGTTCCAATCCACCTGTAGACAGGGATCTCACATCAGCTTGTATTTTATACAAGGATAAGATTTAATAAATTCAGTTATCTGACTGAACACTGGCTCTGTTTAAATCAGAGATTTAAACATACATAGTCTAACCTAGTACCATAACTTAACAGCCAATAGATTCTTATACTATAAACAACAAATTAAATTGTAAAAGTATAATAAATGACCTTAAATGTAGTCTTAATACTGTTAACTTAGTACTAGAAATTATATTCAATTAAATGAACTTATATGATAACTTATAAATAACTAAGCA